GGAGGGCCACGTGTTAAACTTCTCTCCCTCTAACAATCACTAGTTAGACTGTACACTGTGTGATGGAGGACCACGTGTTAAACTTCTCTCCCTCTAACAATCATTAGTTAGACTGTACATTGTGTGATGGAGGACCACGTGTTAAACTTCTCTCCCTCTAACAATCACTAGCTAGACTGTATACTGCATGATGGAGCGCCACATGTTAAACTTCTCTCGCTGTGACAATCACTAGTTAGACTGTACACTGCATGATGGAGTGCCACATATTAAACTTCTCTCGCTGTGACAATCACTAGTTAGACTGTACGCTGCGTGATGGAGGACCACGTGTTAAACTTCTCTCCCTCTAACAATCACTAGACTGTACGCTGCATGATAGAAGGCCACGTGTTAAACCTCTCTCCCTGTGACAATCACTAGTTAGACTGTACTCTGCGTGATGGAATGCCATGTGTTAAACTTCTGTCCCTCTATCAATCCCAGTCCGGGTTCCCAACACCTAAGAAATATTTGTTACATTTGCACAAAATACCCTCAATGGAACCAGAACAATCAACATTATACCTAACTCTCCCCTACAAAAAAAAGGGAAGGAAAACAACAAAAATAGTAAATTAAAAATTTACTATTACATTTTTAATAAATTTAAAGCAATACAAAAACAAAACAAAAACCCATAAAGTGGCTTCAGGCTTACCTTGAGCAGTGCACGTGCAATTGCAATCCGCTGTTTCTGCCCACCTAACAAAGACATCTTTTTTTTAATTGAAAGCTTTAACAAAAATTCTTGGTATAGGCTTTTCTGTTAAACTATGTGGCAATTGGAAAGTAACTTCTTCCAATCAGCCAAAGCAGAGATAGATCGTAAAGCAGAAAGCTATTTAAAAAAAGTCTCCCCCTCAATCTCAAAATATACTACCCCATGTAATCTTTAAAAAACTCCTATGAGGTAGAGCCTATTATTATTACCACTTAAGGATGAAAAAGTGAGGCACAAAGTAACATGTCTCACACAGCTGATAAGTAGCAGAGCCTAGATTTGAACCTAGGCAGTGTGAAGGGCTATGCTTTAAACATCATCCAGACTTTCCTCCCTAACAATATCCAATGTAGCAAGGAAACAAGAAACTCAAATATTTAAAGTTTTCAAACAATGTTTCAGATGGATGGAAACAAAGGGCATCAATCTAGCCAGGATTTTTAATTCTACCATTCTACTTCATAACACCTACTTGTCATGACTTCCATTCTCATGTTATTCTCTTATTTTCCCTGTCCAAGAGAGCACTTTGCACATAGACACATATAGTAGGATGTGCACATACATGAGACTTGAGATTGAGAATAAACCACTCTAAACCACTCCCCCTACCTACCCCCCACCACCTTTTAAACTCAAATTCTACTAAAAGGGAACAAACTAGGGGGTGGGAATGGGAAGAGTCAGACAAGATAGAGGTTAGCAGAAAGATGATAGTTTCCCCATCCTCATCTTTTTTCTAATACCATCTTTTCTCCTTTTCCCCAGGGTCACATTACTCCTAAATAACAATCTGTAAAGTCTCAGAGGGCGGTACTTAGGACTCACTCCTCCCAACTTAAGTAGTTTAAAAACCCAGTTCCATTTTTGATGATACAAACATTCCTTTTTAATTAATTTTATTAGCTGAACATATGTATTAATAGTAACTGCTGAACATTATATTATTTTGGCTAAGAGGAAAGTTCACCATTTACAACTGAAATGTGTGTTGCTGCTAAATGCTGTCCTCAAACAGACAAACCAGTGCACACCATGAACATAAGCAGGGGAAAGGCATTTCTTTTGGAATGTCTCTTGTTGGTGAGGGTGCTCAGTGTTAGAACAGCCAGCTGATGACTTTGTGAGCTCTGAGAAATCCTTGGTGCCAACAGTGCACTGGGACTCTACTGCTGCCTATCCTTCTTTCCTCCCAGAAAGTAAGGGTGGAGTCACATCTTTGGTTAGTTCGCTGTGAAAGGGAGCTTGAGAATGCTGCTAGATGGAAGGGCATAAAGCAATCTGTTCCAAGGGAGAAGGTGAAGGGCTAGGAGAGCATGCCACAGGTTGCCACACAATCCTACACCTCTATGCTCAGTAATTTCCCCGTGAGCAGCTCAAACCATCTCTAGCTGATGTCCTGCCTAAGGGTATGTTTCAGAGATGCAGAAGCAATTAACTTACACAGCAAATTTGGTAAAATTTGTGATTCTCCTGGAGCTCCCTATATCTATCAAAAACATCTTTTTATCTGCTTCCTATGGTAAAACAAATCATATTCACACAGTCAACTTAAAGCACCTTTCTTTTAAACTTCCTGTGGTCTAACTTCAAACAAAAGGTTAGAGTTGAAAAGCACTATTGCTCGAGGGCATCTAGTCTCCCCTGCTAACCATCACTCTGACATACAGGCATCTTCCTTTGCTCAGATATTTCCAATTACAGGGGACCTTGGAAGGAAATACATTTCAATATTTGTAATGAAAAAAAAAAATTGCGTTTAACCAAAAATTTATCTCCCTTTAAGTTCTACTCACTGAATTCTACTTCTGCTCTCTAAAGCAATACAAAACTCCTGAAAATATGGTACTGAAAATGAGATGCAATACGCTAGGTGTGGTCTGACCATCCCAAGGAACAGGAGATTTTGCCTCACAGTCTGAGTTCTCCCATTAGTCTGGTACAAGGCATCTACGGCCTGTGGTCTGTGGACCAAATCTGGACCCCAGCCCTTTTTGTACAGCCCTCAAACTAAGAACGGTTTTCAGACTTTAAAAAAAAAAGAATACGCCATAGCGACCATATGTGGCCCATTAAACCTAAAATATTTACTATTTGGCCTTTTACAGGAAAAGTTTGTCGCCCACAATTAAGTATGTAAAATACACAGGGGGAGTAAGAACTCTTTCAATGTCTTTTATATTCCTGATTCATAGTCTCTGCCTCTCTGGGCAGACCATCCTGCCACCCTGCATCTGTCTTATTCTCCACAATTTCTGATGATCTTGGGTTGCAAAACAATCTTTTCTCAAATGAGATAAAAGCTTGCTGTGGCTGAGTACTCCTCAGTGGGAATCTGGGGAACACATATGGGGTTGAAAGTGGAGGAAACTGGGTTAGATGTTAGAAAGCTAGTGAGGCTTTGGATAGGTAGACTCAACATAGTGAAAATGTCAATTCTACCCAAAGCGATCTCCAGATACAATGCAATCCCGATCCAAATTCCAGTGACATTTTTTAATGAGATGGAGAAACAAATCACCAACTTCATATGGAAAGGGAAGAGGCCCCAAATAAATAAAGCATTACTCAAGAAGAAGAACAAAGTGCAAGGCCTTACATTACCTGATTTTAGGATCTATTATACAGCCACGGTAGTCAAAACAGCCTGGTATTGGTACAACAACAGATACACAGACCAATGGAACAGAGTTGAGAATCGAGATATAAGCTCATCCACCTATGAGCAGCTAATATCTGACAAAGGCCCAAAGTCCATTAACTGGGGAAAAGACAGTCTCTTTAACAAATTGTGCTGGCATAATTGGATATCCATTTGCAAAAAAATGAAAAAAGACCCATACCTCACACCATGCACAAAAACTAACTCAAAATGGATCAAAGACTTAAATACAAAATTGAAAACAATAAAGATCACGGAAAAAAAAATAGGGACAATGCTAGGAGCCCTAATACATGGCATAAACATAATATGAACCATAAGTAATAATGCACAAGCACCAGGAAACTAGATAAATGGGAGCTGCTAAAAATTAAACATTTATGTTCAGCAAAAGACTTCACCAAAAGAGTAAAAAGACAACCTACAGATTGGGAAAAAATTTTTGGCTACAACAAATCCGATCAGCATCTAATCTCTAAAATCTACAAGATACTGCAAAACCTCAACAACAAAAAGACAAATAATCCAATTAAAAAACAGACAAAGGATATATATGAACAGGCATTTCACCAAAGAAGATATTTAGATGGCTAACAGACAGACACATGAAGAAATGCTTATGATCATTAGCCATTAGAGAAATGCAGATCGAAACTACAATGAGATATCATCTCATCCCAACAAGGCTAGCCTTAATCCAAAAAACACAAAATAATAAATGCTGGAGAGGTTGTGGAGAGACTGGAACACTTATACACTGTTGGTGGGAATGTAAAATGGTACAACCACTTTGGAAATAGATTTGGCGCTTCTTTAAAAAGCTAGAAATAAAAGTACCATACGATCCAGCTATTCCCGCTCCTTGGAATATATCCTAGAGAAATAAGAGCCATTACATGAATAGATATATGCACACCCATGTTCATTGCAGCACTGTTCACAATAGCAAAAGGATGGAAACAACCTAGGTGCCCATCAACGGACGAATGGAGAAACAAATTGTGTTATATCCACACAATGGAATACTACGCAATGATGAAGAACAATGACGAAGCCATGAAACATAACATGGAGGAACCTGGAACTCATTATGCTGAGTGAATTTAATTAGTCACAGAAGACAAATATTGTATAGGACCACTATTGTAAGAACTCAAGGAAAGGTTTAAACACAGAAGAAAACATTCTTTGATGGTTACAAGGGGGGGGGGGTTATTTACTAACTAGATAGTAGATAAGAATCATCTTAGATGAAGGGAAGGACAGCATACACTACAGGGGAAGTCAGCACGACTGGACTAAACCAAAGCTAAGAAGTTTCCTCAATACAGTCAAATACTTTGAAAGACAGAGTAGCAGAGGTAGGGGTCTGGAGACCATGCTTTCAGGGGACATCTAGGTCAACTGGCATAACAAAGCTTATTAAGAAAATGTTCTGCGTCCTACTTTGGTGAGTGGCGTCTGGGGTCTTAAAAGCTTGCAAGCGGCCATCTAAGACGCATCAATTGGTCCCAACCACCTGGAGTAAAGGAGAATGAAGAACACCAAAGACACAAGGAAAGTATTAGCCCAAGAGACAGAAAGGGCCACGTAAACCAGAGATTTCATCAGCCTAAGACCAGAACTAGATGGTGCCCAGCTACCACCAATGACCGCCCTGACAGGGAAAACAACAGACAGTCCCGGATGGAGCAGCAGAAAGATGGGGTGCAGAACTCAAATTCTAGTAAGAAGACCAGACTTAATGGTCTGACTGAGACTGGAGGAACCCCGAAAAGCATGGCCCCTGGATTCTCTATCAGCCCAGAACTAAAACAATTTCCGAGGCCAACTCTTCAGACAGGGATTGGACTGGACTGTGGGACATAAAGTGATACTCGTGAAGAGTGTGCCTCTTAGCTCAAGCAGATACAAGAGACCAAAGGGGCAGCTTCTGTCCGGAGGTGAGATGGGAAGGCAGGGAGGGTTAGGAGCTGGTTGAATGGACATGGGGAATCAGGGGCAGAAAGAAGGAGTGTGTTGTCGCAGAATGGGGTGAGCAATTAGGGTCACATAACAATGTGTGTATAAAATTTTGTACTGGAGACTAACTTGAAATATAAACTTCATTTAAACTACAACAATAAAAAATAAAAATAATAAAAAAAAGAAAGTGGTGAGGCTAATTTTATAAACTCTAGGAACAAAAATCTGCTTAGAAAATAATTTTGCCATATGGAAGTGTTTATACAGAGTTCTTTGGAACAGTTTTTGCTACAAAGCAGTTTAACAAAAACATACCTGAAAGGAGAACGCCCTTTTCTCCAACCACAGTGTTGAATCCTTGGGGGAAATTTCTAATGAAAGCAGCTGCATTAGCCACATCAGCAGCTCTCTCTACTTGCTCAGCAGTCACCAGGGCAGGGTTGTCTGCACCATAAGCAATGTTCTCAGCAATTGAACAAGAAAACAAAACTGGTTCCTACAAATTGTAAATGAAACATTATTTATCATAAATTTCAAAACAGTCTTCAAACACCTCTAGTAAATATAGTGGCGCTTAGTACAGAACTTACATCTAAGAAACTATTCAATTGCTCCCAAAGAATAGGTTATTTTCTTGGCTTTGCTATTTCTCCATAAATTCACCCAGAAGACTTTTTGAAAATTCAGCTTACCATGAATGGAACTGATTTGATCGTATGTAGTTTCTACCACCCTGCAGATACCACGTCAAGTGTTTGCACAGTGCCTGGCACAGAGGTACATCCTGAATGTGAGTTCCCTTCCCTTAAGGATCAGGAGACACTGGAAGAACCTGAGTTTATTTGCATTTCTAAGTTGCCTGCCTTCACTAAGGAAAAAGGTGGTAATCCAGCTCTGTCCACTGCTTTCTGAAATATACAAAATAGATGGGAACACGACATTTTGACAGAACCCTGGTGAATAGTCCTAAAAGGTAAACAAACTGCAGCTTCTTTTCTCCATCTCTAAATAATATGGACCCCTGATACCCTCATGCTGCTGACTGTCCCCCATTGCTGCCCTTCACCCCACCCCCAGTGGAATTAGGGTGGGGATAAGGTAGGAGGGATGCTTACTAGGCAGATGAGGCCCAGAAATGGGGGCGGGGCTCAGTTTTGCCCAATGTGCACATAATTTGGAAATAAAAACATAAACAGCTGTGTCAAAATTTCCCTGTGTGAAAACAGCCTCACAAATAACCATATTGAATAAATTACTGCTCTGCTGTGAAATATGCAACCTCTTTGCAAAGGGACCCAGGGTTCTTGCCCTAGTCTTTGCTTGCCAATCCCTGAAAAGCATTATGCAAAACAATAGACTGTGGCTAGTAATGAAAACGGGCCCTGGCAGTGCAGTGGTTAAGAGCTCAGGCTGCTAACCCAAAGGTCAGCAATTCGAATCCACCAGCTGCTCCTTGGAAACCCTGTGGGGCAGTTATACTCTGTCCTATAGGGTTGCTATGAGTTGTCATCAACTCAATGGCAACGGGGTAGTAGTAATGAAAATTGGGAACTGGGGAAGAGGCAGTAAGCTAAAGAATTTTACCATTTTCTGCCTGTCCTCCAGACTGTCTACATCACAAAGTAATGCTGTTCTCTAGCTTTTGATAAAAAGTCAGCATTTCAACTGGTTAAAGTGATTAATGTCTTCAGGAAATAGCACTATTTTCTAAACCTAAACAAACTGTCATGCAAGATAAATTTACTACAGCTAGAAAACTTCCATTCCTTCTCTCTCAAGAGGTTCAAGACCAAGAAGGAAACAAACGACAAAAGCATTATCAAAAGAATGTGTAATAAAAATGGAACACGGTCTTCTTACCTGACTCACTGTGCCAATCTTGGATCTCAGCCAGACTGGATTTAACTCACGGATGTCACAACCATCAAGAGTGACAGTTCCTTGTAGAAAGGAAAGGAAAGGGTCACTGAGCTTCACAGGACTAATATAAACAGGAAGAATTTGGTGGAAAAATCCCAGACTCAGTTTTTTACAGCTTAAAAGTGTACTCAAAAATCTCTAAACAGAATAAAAAAATAACACATTTCATGAGACTTTAGAGCTAAAGGGGACTTCTGGATTATCCAAGTTTAACAACTTCCTGTCCATCACTTGTCTGTCAGTTTTTCGTACTATGGGGCTTGCATGCTGCTGTGATGCTGGAAGCTATGCCACTGGTGTTTCAAATACCAGCAGGGTCACCCACTGTGGACAGGTTTCAGCAGAGCTTCCAGACTAAGACAGATTAGGAAGAAGGACCTGGCAGTCTACTTTTGAAAAAACTGGCCAGTGACAACCTTATGAATAGTAGCGGAACATTGTCTGATACAGTGCCAGATGAGCCTCTCTGGTTGGAAGGCACTCAAAATATGACTGGATAAGAGCTGCCTCCTCAAAGGAGAGTTGACCTTAATGACATGGATGGAGTAAAGCTTTTGGGACCCTCATTTGCTGATGTGGCATTACTCAAAATGAGAAGAAACAGTTGCAAACATTCATTAATAATCAGAATGTGCAATGTACCAAGTATCAATCTAGGAAAATTTGAAGTTGTCAAAAATGAAAGGGAATGAATAAAGATCAACATCCCTAGGATAGTGAGCTGAAATGAACGGCATTACTTTGTGATGTAGACAGTCTGGAGGACAGGGAGAAAATGGTAAAATTCTTTAGCTTACTGCCTCTTCCCCAGTTCCCAATTTTCATTACTACTACCCCGTTGCCATTGAGTTGATGACAACTCATAGCGACCCTATAGGACAGAGTATAACTGCCCCACAGGGTTTCCAAGGAGCAGCTGGTGGATTCGAATTGCTGACCTTTGGGTTAGCAGCCTGAGCTCTTAACCACTGCACTGCCAGGGCCCGTTTTCATTACTAGCCACAGTCTATTGTTTTGCATAATGTATTGGCCATTCTGAATCAGACAAGATTAACTATTATGACAAATTGAAGAGGAATGGCATCGCAGTCATTGTCAAAAAGAACATTTCAAGATCTATCCTAAAGTATAACGCTGTCAGTGGTAGGATAATATCTATACACCTACAAGGAAGACCAGTTAATACGACTATTTTTCAAATTTATGCACCAACCACTAAGGCCAAAGATGAAGAAACTGGAGATTTTTACCAGCTTCTTTGGTCTGAAATTGTTCGAACATGTAATCCAGATGTGCTTATAATTACTGGTGATTGGAATACAAAAGTTGGAAACAAAGAAGGATCAGCAGTTGGAAAATATGGCCTTGGTGACAGAAATGACTCTGGAGATTGTGTGACAGAATTTTGCAAGATCAGCGACTTATTCCTTGTAAATATCTTTTTTCAACAACATAAACGGTGACTATACACATGAACCTGGCCAGACGGAATACGCAGGAATCAAATCAACAACAACTGTGGAAAGAGATAATGGAGAAGCTCAACATGATCAATCAGAGCAAGGCCAGGGGTCGACTGTGGAAAAGACCATCAATTAATCATATGCAAGTTCAAGTAGAAGCTGAAGAAAATTAAAAGAAGTACACAAAAACCAAAGTACAAGCTTGAGTGTATCCCACCTGAATTTAGAGACCATCTCAAGAATAGACTTGATGCACTGAACATTAATGATTGAAGACCAGACAAGTTGTGGGATGACATCAAGGACATCATACATGAAGAAAGCAAGAAGTCATTAAAAAGATAGCAGAAAAAGAAAGAGAAGACCAAAATGGATGTCAGAATAGACTCTGAAACTTGCTCATAAATGAAAAGTAGCTAAAGCAAACAGGAGAAGTGATGAAGTAAAAGAGCTGAGGAGAAGACTTCGAAGGGCAGCTCAAGAAGACAAAATAAAGTACTATAATGAAATGTGCAAAGACCTGGAGTTAGAAAACCAAAAGGGAAGTACACGTCTGGCGTTTCTCAAAGTCAAAGAACTGAAGAAAAAATTCAAGCTTCGAGTTGCAATACTGAAGGACTCTATGGGCAAAATATTGAATGACGTAGAAAACATCAAAAGAAGATGGAAGGAATACACAGAGTTACTCTATCAAAAAGAATTGGTTGACGTTCAACCATTTCAGGAACTAGCATATGATCAAGAACCAATGGTACTGAATGAAGAAGTTCAAGCTGCACTGAAGCATTAGTGAAAAACAAGGGTCTGGGAATTAACAGAATACCAATTGAGATGTTTTAACAAATGGATGCAGCACTGGAGCCGCTCACTCATCTATGCCAAGAAATTTGGAAGACAGCTACCTGGCCACATGACTGGAGGAGATCCATATTTGCACCCATTCCAAAGAAAGGTGATACAATGGAATGTGGAAATTATCACACGCAAGTAAAACTTTGCTGAAGATAATTCAAAATCGATTATAGCAGCACGTCGACAGGGAACTGTCAGAAATTCAAGCAAGATTCAGAAGAGGATGTGGAACAAGGGGTATCATTGTTGATGTCAGATGGATCTTGGCTGAAAGCAGAGAATACCAGAAAGATGTTTACCTGTGTTTTATTGACAATGCAAAGGCATTCGACTGTGTGGATCATAATAAATTATGGATAACATTGAGAAGAATGGGAATTCCGGAACACTTAATTGTGCTCATGAGGAACCTGTACATAGATCAAGAGGTAGTCATTCGAACCGAACAAAGGGATAACGTGGTTTAAGGTCAGGAAAGGCTTGTGTCAGGGCTGCATCCTTTGGGTTGGTGAAACCATACTTATTCAATCTGTATGCTGAGTAAATAACCTGAGAAGCTGGACTATATGAAGAAAAATGTGGCATGAGGATTGGCAGAAGACTCATTGACAATCTTCAGTATGAAGATGACATGAGCTTGCTTGCTGAAAGTGAAGAGGACTTGAAGCACTTAGTGATGAAAATCAAAGACTATAGCCTTCAGTATGGATTATACCTCAACATAAAGAAAACAAAAATCCTCACAACTGGACCAATAAGCAACATCATGATAAATGGGGAAAATATTGGAAGTTGCCAAGCATTTCATTTTACTTGGATCCACAATCAACACCTATGGAAGCAGCAGTCAAGAAATCAAACGCTGCATTGCATTGGGCCAATCTGCTGCAAAAGACTTCTTCAAAGTGTTAAAAAGCAAAGATGTCACTTGAGGACAAAGGTGCACCTGACCCAAGCCATGGTATTTCCAATTGTTTCATATGAACGAGAAAGCTGGACAATGAATAAGGAAGATCAAAGAAAACTGATGCCCCTAAATTATGGTGTTGTCAAAGAGTACTGAATATAGCATGGACTGCCAGAAAAATGAACACATCTGTCTCGGAAGAAGTACAGCCAGAACGTTCCTTAGAAGCGAGGATGGCGACACTTCGTCTCACATACTTTGGACATGTTATCAGGAGGGACCAGTCCCTGGAGAAGGACATCAGGCTTGGTAAAGTGGAGGGTCAGTGAAAGAGAGGAAGAATCTCAACAAGATGGACTGACACAGTGGCTGCAATGATTGGCTTGAGCATAGCAATGATTGTGAGGATGGTATGACTGGGCAGTGTTTTGTTCTGTTGTACTTAGGGTGTACTTAGGGTGGCTATGGTTCGGAACTGATTCAACGGCATCTAATAATAAAATATGATAATAACTCCCTGTAGTGGTTAAATGACTACCCAACTTAGTTCATTCATCTTGCTCATCTCCCTGTACCATAGAGGTTGTAGAGAGCTTTTGACTCCCTTATAGCTAGCTTCAGTTATAGCACAGCTTTGATCCTGAATAGAAATCTGTGGGAGAGGGGCAAGTTGTGAGGTATTCATTTGTTGGCAGGGGTGGTACTGAAGCTGACACCTGTGCCAGTGGTAGCCTAATTCTGCTGCTTCCTGACCATGTCAGGTCAGCAACTACCTTAAACGCCTACTTCTGCAGTGAACTACAATCTATTTTGTCAACCTGTCAGTGATTTTTAAGCTTTTTATTACTCCTTAAAATACCTTTTCTGCATAAACTTAGAGGGGAATCTGCTATGTGCAACTCAGAACCTGACTGATATCCTGGCAGACCTTTTAAATAATTAGATCCTAACACTGTAGCCTTGGCTAACAGAATTAATTCTACACATTGAGGGTATTCAGTAAGTGCTCTGTGGCAATGCCCGTGACTGTTCAGAAATGCCTTGAGGGTGTGCACGGGGCAGGAGGCAGCACGCACCTTCTTTCTCCTCCTCCTCCGCAGTTAATGGCTTGGAGGCACACACACCAGCTGTAACCAGGGAAAACGTGAAGTCTCTGACTAAAAAAATTCAAGTGCCCTCTATAAGGTACACATAGCAGAAATTTAAGTGCAATTTCCCTTGATTTATTTACTGTGATGAACAAACGAGATTCACTCAATACTTTGACTTGATTTGATCCATCCAATTATAATTTTTCATAAAACCTGAATTTTTATAGCAAGCAGGCATAAGTCAAGACAACAATTCCAAAGGCAAACAGTGTCGTAAACCCCATTTTAGCACAGATGGTGATGTCATGGGTCAGACAAATAGCCAGCAGATAACCAGCTCTCACATTATTTTAACCAAAAGCACAGAGTACGAAGACCACAAAACATACTCTTTTTAAATTTGTGATTTGGTTTTTGCTAGCAGTTGTTTGCTTGCTAAGAAATCTTAGTTTCTCAATCCAAAATCAAATCAGTACATACAGAATATATACTCCAGGCAAAGGCCCATGTTAGGCTCTAAAGAGGATATAAAGAAGTAAAATAATATGCTCTTTGCTTTTAAAAATGCTTTAATTCAGTTAAAGGGGGGAAAAAACAGAAAGAGAAAAATCTATTAAGAAAATCCCAACTAGCTCAAAATAGCTTCAACAGAGCAGTTATACAGCAGTGAACTATTGATTGTCAAATTAACTGTTTTCACAATAATCACCAAAAGTTCACAGACAGAAGCAGTCACTTCAGGCTGCACAGGGCTTCACAGATTTTCCAGCAAAGAAGAACCTCAGACAGTACTCCTCCAACCCCTGCCAAGCACAGTACCCGGCCACACAGTGTGGCTGATGGGCAGCGGCAGCCAGCAGCATGTACGTCGCCCGTCTCTGGCTGCTGAACACAGCTCTCCTGCCCAGCTCTCAGCAGAGGAGCAGAGGAGGTGGAAGTCACTCTCAACTTGAAGAGGTAGGACATAAAATATACAAAAAGCCTCACAGGCCTTCTGCATTAGCTGTCATACCCCTAAAGGTGACACCTTCTGTTTAAGGGATTTCTTGGCTGGGAATAAACCCTCTGGCATTTATAACTCTAAAGCTGAAAAGTCCTTGCCCCTCCATATGATCTTCTCCAAGGCACAGGTGGAGGAGGAGGGCACAGGTGGAGAAGGAGGGCTCAGGAGGGTCTTCCTGACTTATAATACGGTGAAACACTTACCCGAAATGGGGTCATACAACCTCAGTAGGAGCGAAACCACTGTTGATTTGCCAGAACCACTTGAGCCAACCAGTGCTGTGACAGATCCAGATGGGATACAAAGGCTGAAATCCTGGAATATGGGCACTTCTGGGCGGGCCGGATAGGCAAAATGCACTTTCTTAAATTCCAAAGTGCCCTGGAAGGCCTTCTCATTTAAACTGATCCCCTCTGAAACACAAGATGGAATATCAATTACTTAAAGAAAAAATCAGCTTCATAGCTGAACTCAATCCTCCCGCTAGTTTGACTATAGATGAATGGCCCACCACAGCTATGGTCCTGGAGCAGGAGCTCTCAATGGACAAGTCGGCATGCAGGCCTATGTCCCAACACTTACCATGTCCTGCTTTGTACCTACTATGTTCAACGACCCTAAGAGGCAGAAATCACTATTTCAATTTTACTGAGGCTGAGGTTAAACAACTTGCCCAAGCCAACAGGTGGCAGAATTAAGTCCACTCTTGGATCAGTCTGGTTTCAAACCCAGTTACCTTCTCACTTTGCCACACTACCTCTATGTAGTTCCTTGCCCAGCGTTTATCTTAGAATCAAACCTACACCCAATAAATGTTTGAGGGAATGACGGTAAGTAGAGAGTGCTGCACACAGCCCACAACTGGGGAAAGCAGAGATCTACCCCGCCATGGCAGTAACCTGCCACTGACTTGGGAGAAGCTGCTCAGTCTCTCTCAGTTTGGCTTATTTTCCAAACCTGTCACACTGGAGAACATTAGGCTTTCCCTCATTGACTTGGGGGCTAACAAACAATGTTCAAACAGTCAGTGAGTAATGGGGAGTGGTTACCACTCTACCACTTCTCCTGAGTCTTAGCTGACTGGTCCAGGCCCCCTTCCTCCCGGCTTACTGGCTTCCAGAAAAGTAGTTAAGGAAGAAGGAGGTGGCTCTAGCCAATTAGTACCAATATCACCCACCCTACCCGAAATGCCAGGAAATTTAGAGGCTTTTATAGAGAGGATCCCTGCCCCTTCCTCCCCATTCTACCATCCCACACAAACTTCAAAATCACAAGGGAAGATAAATCTGGTGGGGTACCTGGGGCCACACACTTTATCCTGCTCTGAGGGGTAACACACCATCTGCAGGGAGATGCACAGCAGCAAGCCCATGAGGAGCCAGCCCCTACCCTCCCAGAAACATCCTTGGGCCCTGTGATGCCCCAGCGATGGCCTTCCTCTGTGACTACCCTCCTCCTGTCTGATAGGAAGCGTGGACTTCCCTCCTGCCACACAGCCTTCAGGTGTTCTAGTCCTCAGCATCGCAGGACTCTGCCCAGCCCTTCATTACATTCCCCATTTTATCAGCCTCCGGCATAATCACTTACATCATGGAGATGTTCCTTACCTACTGTATAAGTGGTAGTAACAAAAGAGTTGGACTGATATTTAATTTACTACCCACTAGTATGAATAAAGCATATTTCATAGCTAATATTTAGGAAGAATTATATATTGATGGCAAAGAAGAGAAAAAAAATTAAGTTAAAAAAAAAAGCTAGAAAAGCACATAAGATACCAGGGACCAAACTGACAAGGACAGGCAAAGTCATGGGATTGTGCCATCACAAGCTGAGGCGAGGCTGTCTGTGCGCCCCCTGCCCTTGAGTGGCTCATTCTTCACATGGAGGACGGGGCTGTCTCATTTCCCAAAGCCATATTTGCTCCACCAAAGAACAAACCTGTGGAGGACCCACCGTCAAAAGGAAGCTCAGGCTTTCTCTCCAGGAGCTCCCAGAGGCGTCCTCCAGCACCCAGTCCTTTCATCAGCTCAGAATAGAAAGAGCTCAGGCCTGAGGAAGACAGCAAAGTCCATACACATCACCGGACACCAGAAAATGGCCCTCAGCTACTCCCACTCCACTGGGGATAGTAACGTAACTGACTTCTAATATAAAATCTGTTACTTTCCATAAAGAATTTAAGGCAGCTATCTTGGCATCTACATTCAGAACTCTCTTTGCCTCATACCATTGTTTTCGTTTGGATTCTCCTCCTCAATTTCATTGATTTCTAATATGGACTTAATTTTTGATCAGAGAATTTACAAATACATACAGCCATACTAATTAACCACTGAATTAAAATCGCAGTGATACAGGTAGTCCACCTAGTCAAAAAATGTAACAGTATAAATAAAATGTAATGCTTATCCCATAGTAAAAAGGAGTATGAAATACCCCAATATTTATTTTAAGGACATATCCACAAAGTCACACCTCCCCTTCAGGCACTCCAGTGAATACTTCCTTTACATAGCCTAAAAACTGAGAAGGAATTTTGTAATGCTAAATATTCCAGCAATCTGTTTTTAAAGTCAGCTTTGAACTGATTTAATTAATGACTCAAACAAAGAAACTCCACGTGGTGGTCCACGTCCAGCTGCGAGACCATAACGCTCATAACATTTCCCCTTAGGAAGGGTGCTAGCAGAATGCAGTGCAGATATTCCTTCTATGGCACATGGACACTGTGCAGAATACAATGCATTCGGGTTGAATTAAAAACCCACTGGGGCTCAGGAAGAAGATTAAGAGACGCAATGATTCAAAATAAACAAGCATGCTTTTCTTCATACAACATTTCAACGCCCTCTCAGCAGCAAATGTACTTAGAATTTTATTTCCAGTGTACTATTCTAAGGAGAGACCAATACATGAAAATTCCAATTTAGTTAGCAAATAAAATAAGGCCTTCTTGCTTTGCAAATTCATCATAGAATTACTTTAAACACTGAGCTTTACAAAAGCATTTAAGATTCAATTCAGTTGGTTGAATGTACTTTCATAACCTTTAGGTACCTGTCTAGGTTGTAAATATAGAGCAGCCTGTGGTGGTACTAGATCTACAACGATGCACCCATACTTCCACTCCTCCCTTCTTGTTCCAGACAGTATGCATGTTACAATACAGTTAGCCAGAGCTGAGGTATAACATGTGGAGGTTAAGAAACCCAAACCACCCAATTTCTGCAGCTAGACAGAGCCTTATTAGCACTTCTACAACCAAGGGAGGTAACTGACTACTGATGGAATAGAGCTGTGTTTTCCAACTTATTTCTGTGCAAGACACACCTGTGAACTTGTCAGAATAAAAGCAGGGCAGTAGCATATCCAAAACAGAGACAGCTTCTAACCTGTCAAATAGTATGAAAAAAAGGGAAGGTGGCTAAGAAAGATAATGTCAAACGTGGCAGAAAACACAAGATTAGGGGAGACCAGGGAAGAAACCTGAGCTGTCGCAAGGCATGGACTGTGGGAAGAGAGGCCGTGGAGAGGTGGAGTGATGGTAAGCAAGTCCACTCTACGGTAGGACAGAGGACACGTCTTCCAGAAACACAACCACAAAGGGATCCGGGCACCCCTGGTTCAGCACATTCTGGGAGTCAAGCTCCAGCAGGCTCACCAGCAGACGGAGAGAAAAGAGCAATGCATCATTCCTCAGGCTCTCCTGAACGAACCCTCTCACTTCCCAGCACCCTGGAATGCCTTAACCAGGTTTTTTCTTTGGGACCAGCTAACAAAACTAAAATGCTATTTTTAGGGGTCTCTGCAAATCTCACTCCAGGAAATACCCTGACTTGCCTGTAGTGCCTAAGGAAAAGCATCTACATACAACCAGACATGAAAATCTTAAAAAAAAAAATCTCTGGCTGAGGTAACACTATAGGATAACCAGAAGTTCTGTCAGTCAGACATCAAGCTGTTTACCTAACCTTTCCTCTTCACTTTCAAAAGGAGGGAGGAAAACAAAAAGCAGGAAATCATTTGCCCCATGTTGCCAGAGGATGCAGGAAAGGTCCAGAAAAAAAACTTCACAGACTTCACATCACTTTGCCTCCATGAATCTTGCCTCCCTCCACCCAAGGACGGACAATAAAAGCGGAACTCAGAGATTTACGACTAAAGCAAGCAACTTTGCTTCATGTGCCTTACAATTTATAAGTACTTTTTATTGTTTGTTAGTTTTTAACTTGGTTGACTTTGTATAAAAGAAATTTTAATCCCCAGTGATTTGCCAATCACGAAAGCACCACTGCAATAGACTGTGGGTTTCCTTGTACGTTTCTGTTCAGCAAGTATCTCTCCTCCTCCCTCCATCCTACCATCAAAAGTTAACAAGCTGAACTGTAAGAGGCCTACAAAAATCCACAACTTCCTAACCAAGAAACTGCTGACCTACATGAGATGATCACACCTATAATTTTATTTTTTCTTTAAAAGCCAAGTTGGAATAACATTCCAGCACATTTTTTCAGCTGAAGCTAATTGTCTAGAGGTAATGTGAGAGTTAGGTTTTTATTTCATAAACGAAATACCTGATTTTTCATTTGAAACTCCCCAAACCTAGTTAAATGATATACCTCCAATGCTCAATCCGACCCAGAAAGCATACATGAGGAAGGAAGAGAGCTGACCCACTGTCATGTGGGCACTGCCCATCAGCAGCCCTCCTTTGTACAGGACCGAGAGCACAATCAGGTTCCCAGACAGCCCCGCCTGCAAGTGAACGAAACACAGACGTCAGGGGGACAGACTGCAAAAGGGATTAATGAGGCATTTTTTTCACTCGTATGATCGTTCTGAAATATTAAATCCAGTCTGAATTTCAAATAAATACTTTATCGAAATATTGCAATATTGAAGAAAATCACCTCAGTACCATGAAAACATAGTCACTCATCAGATTCCTAGGTCACTCAATCTACTCAGTTTGCAAAGGACAAAATATTAAAGATTTCTTCCCTAACTAGAGGAAACAAATAAATGTGTTACGTGCGCTTATGTATTTAAGCAAAACATACTGGGCAAAGGCACTAGGCTGAAAAGCTAGAGTCTCATCCCTACGACCTGGTTTTACATTCAGTAGATGTGTGGTCTGTCATACGTGCCCTCTTCTTTGAGCCTCTACTTCCTCATCTGCTAAATAATGGCGATTACTGAACCACCTCTACAGTTCTCCCAGTCTGAACATTTTATGTATGAATTTGCTCTCATGGTGATTTTCTAGTTCAATGTTGTATATGCGTTCATTGTGATCAGTGTTTCATACTTCCTTCTTGATACTCACTGAGGGTATTTCTGTTATTCTTTGGTGGTTCTCACTGTCACGGGCACCAGATGACAAGAGGGCTGATTAAAGCTCAAACTGGGAAGTTCCCAGGTGGTGCTGGTGCCCCTGATCTGGGACCACACTGTGAGAACCAGTGCTTTATCTCAGACAGCTTGTAGTCTCCCCATGCAGTCCTCTTCTTTCACAAAAATATTTTGAAGAAAGTAATTCTTAGTGCTGAAGTAGAATAACATTATTTTTACTTATGGCGAGAGCCACAGAATAAAATTCTCCGACAATCCTAACATCTGCCCTTTCGATCTTTCTAAAATGCTGTACTTACTGCTCCAAAGAAGCCAGCCCGAGCAAATGCCTCCTTCCTTGCCAACTGCATCACACAGTTCACTTGGCTGGTGTATTTCTCAATTTCAGTCATTTCTTTCCCAAAAGCTCGAACAGTTCTTATGTTTCCAATACGTTCCTCAGCTAGCTGGGAGAATAATAAATACATTTCAGTGTGAGGGATTACATTTCAAAGTTTCAAGAGGCAAAATTAAAATACGATTCTCCTTTTTAAGACACTACCAATGGAAAGCTGCTCATAATACAAGACTAAGTTAAAAAAAAAATTACAAAGCAGAGTACACAGAACCCTATTTTTATTAAAAAAAAAAAAAAAAGGAATACGTATATACATACACACATCATATAGACAGACAAATCAATAGGAACAAAGATAGATACAGAAGTATATTTTTATGCAGTAAAAAGATGTGAAGGTGAGGCGGGGCCAAGATGGTGGAGTAGTCAGATGCTTCCTGTGGTCCCCCTTACAACAAAGCCCAGAAAAAACAAGTGAATCGATTATACATGACAATCTAGGAGGCCTGAACATCAAAGACAAAATTGAGGAATCAGACTGAGTGGCAGGGGGAAGGAGAGACAGTTCAGAAGCAGTGAGGATTTGCCAGACCTGACCTGGCTGGCACTGGCACCCTGCAGGCTGGACTGGCTAGCGTGCAACGGGTGAGGCAAGCAGTGGTGCTCGGCACACATTTATCACATTGGAAGAGACTGAGCAGTGGGAAGTCTGCTCAAATCTACAGAACCAGCAAAAAACAGTGCTCAATCAGTGGCAAAAGGTAAGTACAAGCATCTAACCTACCACGCAGATTAAAAAAAAAAAAAAAAAAACCCTTTTGGGAAGTAGCTCTCTCCCATTTACCTGCCCCCTCCCTGCTCTGCTCTGTGTCCCAGTCTGGATTCAGTGATTGCTGCACCCCCTGAGCTGGAAATAGGGATCCCTCGTGTGCCCTGAGCCATTTTCCCACCTTTGAGAGGGAACAAATTAGCAAACAGGAGAAAATAATCTGCCAGCTCCCCTAAGCCAGGAACTCAGGGCAGGCACCGTCTCCTTGCCTAGGCACAGGCATAAGGGGTCCATGGACTTTGAATGTCTTTCACCCCTGCACAGACCTGTGTGGGCCCATTTCAACAGCACAGGTCCTCAATAGTACAGTACAACAGGGTATATACCTGATGCCTATTTTCAACTGTATCAGCTATAAGGGGGAGTGACAGACTCGTGACATTTGACACTGCCCTGCCCATTAAGCATCAGGGGCCTGAGGACTGGTGGCTCCACCACTCCACCGAGCCACCTGTGATAGGGGTCCAAGAATAAGGGGTGACTTCCAGTCCTAACAGCAAACAGCACTGGGTGCCCATAATCTGGCTGCAAAACCCACCTACCTACACGCTCTAGGGAACAGGGACATGCCTTCCACCCAGACACTCAGCCCCCTGCCTTGATCAGCTGATGACCCCTACTACAGCCAGATACCTGTGCCTACTCCAATCACCCCTGCCCATCTAGGACTGTAAGTGAGAGGCTGCACCACACACTTGGTGACCGATGGCCTGGACACCTGAGCTGAATCTACACAAGAAAAGTAAACGGCCTCCTGTACTCACACACCTAGTAACAACTCTAGCCACCTGGAGACAGGATGTGAGAGCTTCAAAAACACCAGTAATCAAACTAGCTCACATGGGCAGCCTAATTGGGCATATCAAAACAAGAAGCTAGGGCACAGTAAGCAAACATAGAATAAGTAAATATAATAACTTACTGATGGCTCGGAGACAACAGTCAATATCAAATCACATAAAGAGGCAGACCATGATGGCTTCAGCAAGCCACCAAAACAAAGAATCAAGAAACCTTCATAGGAAGAGAACTTCTTGGAATTACTGGAGATAGAATTCAAAGATTAATATACAGAACTCTTCAGAGATCAAGAAGGAAGTTAATCAAAACACAGAACAAGCCAAGGAACACACAAACAAAGCAACAGCAGAACTTAAGAAGGTTATAAAAGAGCATAATGACAAATTTAACAGGCTGCAAGAATCCATAGAGACAGCAACTGGAATTCCAAAAGATTAACAATAAAATTTCAGAATTAGACAACTCAATAGAAAGTCATAGAAGCAGAATTGAGGCAATGGAAGTCAGAATTAGTAAGATTGAACATAAAGCACTTGACACCAACTTATTTGAGGAAAATCAGATAAAAGAACTTTAAAAAATGAAGAAACCCTAAGAACTATGTGGGACTCTTTCAAGAGGAATAACCTACAAGTGATTGGAGTACCAGAACAAGGAGGGATAATACAAAATACAGAGAGAATTGTTGAACATTTGTTGGCAGAAAACTTCCCTGATATCGTGAAAGATGAGAAGACATCTATACAAGAAGCTCATTGAATCCCACACAAAGTAGACCCCAAAAGAAAGTCACCAAGACATATTATAATCAAACTTGCCAAAACCAAAGATAAAGAGAGAATTTTAAGAGTGGCCAGGAATGAACAAAAAGTCATCTACAAAGAAGAGTCAATAAGACTAAGCTTGGACTACTCAACAGAATCCATGCAGGCAAGAAGGCAATGGAATGACATATATAAAGCCTTGAAGGAAAAAAACTGCCAGCCAAGAATTATATATCCAGCAAAACTGTCTCTCAAATATAATGGTGAAATTAGGGCATTTCCAGATAAACAGAAGTTTAGGGAATTTGTAAAAACCAAACAAAAATTACATGAAATACTAAAGGGAGTCCTCCAGTTAGAAAATCCGTAACATCAGATAACAACCCAATTCTAGAACACATCTAGAACAACCAGATATCAACTCAGATAGGGAAGTCACAAAAATAAAAAGATCTGAAAGGGCAGACTCCAAGCTGTTAATAATATTAATTCTGAGAGACAGGATTACGTGTGTTTTTGTTTTTTTTCCTTATCCATATTTTCAAATTTTTCAATTATAAACATGCACGGCCTTTGTAACATTAAAATATAAAAAGTCACTTTTAATTTTTTAAAAAGACAATACTGCACAGCATTGCAAAACTAGCTTTATAAATTAACAAAGAAATGACTTCAAACATGATTAGCTTTTTGTCCTATGAGAAACAGCAATAGCAAGATGTTCATATGGTGCTCAGTCAAGTTAGATCACTTTTGAGATGTGGGCAGTAGTCTACTCTAACAGGTAGGGATTTCAGCAAACAGGAAAAGTAAGGGAAGGGACTTGGAAAGCCTAAGCACATCCCTTAGGGTCTGCCCCTTAGGAACTTGGCTCTGAACCTATTCCACAGAAGACCAAGAGGACTTGGAAGGGCCTTTACCTGAGTGGCTTGTGCCAGGGAATCCTGAGTGACTCTGGTCAGCTTCCGTAGATATCGTCCATAAATCACAGCAAGAATGGACACTGGAGGTACAACACTCAAAACAAAAATGGCCAGTTTAGGTGAGACAAAAAACTGTCAAAAACAAAAGCCAGAAAGTGTTTATTACATAGAGTGGCAAGAAATTCTCATTACCTACTATAGTTTTATGTTGTTGTTGTTTCTTTTTCTTTAGTAAACAGGCCTGCTTGAATGTGCTATCTCAAAGTTGTACAGCCTGGTTTTTTTTTATTATTTATTTTGCTCTTGTTGTTGAGAATACACACAGCAAAACATACACCAATTCGGCAGCTTCTACATGTACCATTTAGTGACCTTGATTAAATTCTTCAAGTTGTGCAGCCATTCTCACCCTCCCTTTCTGAGTTGATCCTCCCCCGTTAACATAAATTCACTGCCCCCTAAGGTTTCTATCTAATCTTTTGAGTTGCTGTTGGAAAACATATAAATAGTTCTTAAAATAGCATAGTGCTCAAGGCAGACATTTTTTTTACTAGTTAAGCTAAACCATTATTTGGTTTTAAGAAGACTTCAGAGGATATTTTTGGTTAAAGGTTTAAAGATTATCTCAGGCCAGTAGTTTCAGGGGTTCATTCAACATTTATGGCTTCAAGAAGTCTAGAGTCCATGAGAATTTTAAATTCTTTCTGCATTTTCCCCCCTTTTGATCAGGATTCTTCTATAGAATCCTTGATCAAAATGTTCAGTGATGGTCGCTGGGCATTATCCAGTTCTGGTCTCATGGCAGAAGAGGCAGTTCATGCAGGCAATTAGCCATACATTCCATTTCCTGTACTCCTGATGCTCCTTCTTCCTCTGTTGCTCCAGGCAAATAGAGACCAATTATTGTGCCTTGGATGGCCACTTGCAAGCTTTTAAGACTCCAGGCACTATGCAATGAACTAGGAGGTAGAACAGAAGCACTGAACATGTTATTAGGCCAATTAACTGGCAAAAAAAAAAAACAAAACCTGTTGCTGTCAAGTCAATTCTGACTTAGAGTGACCCTACAGGACAGAGTGAAACTGCCCTATATGGTTTCCAAGGAGCAGCTGGTAGATTTGAACTACAGATCTTTTTGGTAAGCAGCCAAGCTCTTAACCACTGTGCCATCAGGGCTCCAGTAATTAACTAGGATGTCCCATGAAACCATGACCCTAAACCTCCAAACCAAGAAACCAAATCTCATTAGGTTTTTGGTTATACATAAGCAGCCTCAGCAGCTACTCTTTTTTTTTTGCAAACATATCTTTCACACAACTTTTGCCTATTCAACTTATTGACAGCAATTACAATAATCAGTTGTGCAACCTTACCCTTAATGTGAATTTTCAATCACCATGTACAGCCTGTTTTGGTAGAACTTTTCAGACATTTTTATCTTTAAAAAATCCCATGAATATTCAGCATACCATACAGAAGTCATCTGACAGAGAGCTTCTAAAGAAAGGATGGAAATATTGTACCCTCGGACCAATCCTGTACATACTAGACCAGGTTTTTCTATAACAGATAAGGAGGAGGCCAGGAATTCTATACAGCTAGTCCCTGACTTATGACGGTGTTCCATTCTGATGACGCTGCCATTAGGTCGGTTCTGATGTAAGTTGAAGACCTCTAATTTTTTTAGTTTCCATAACCTGTTATATGGCAGTGCTTTGAACAGTAAATCATAACACTGAACATCTGTGAGTGAACATCTGAAAATGAGAACATCAGCAAATCATGCACTGCACATTGTATGTAGTACATACTACTAACAATAAGATGTAAAAAAAAAAAAAAGACAGTTTATCATAACTTGAATACACCGTTACGTCGGGGACTACCTATATTCAATTCTGGATCACCTCAATGGCACTGAACAACCAAAGCAACACATCCCTCTGGATATCAAGATGGCGGAGAAACTAAAAACCTCTCATCCTCTAACAACAAACAGCTAAAGAAAACTAGGGGCACATAACAATAACAAGTGGAAGGACAGTTAGGGTTGTCTTTCATGGATCAGTGGACCGAAGTCTCAGCAAGATGCAGCAGGCACATTCAGATCACGAAGGAGGAGGCAATCTGCACACCCTGAGGCCCTGTGGCTGTGCTCCTAGCTCTGCATGCTTACAGAATAGTGAGACACAGCACACCTGAAGCTCACCTCATGCTTGAGAGGCTGGCATAGGCCAAGCCTTGGCCAGAAGGCACCAAATGAGAACTAGCCAACGTACCATCATGCCGATGCCAAAAGAAGCCTGGGCCCCGGCCCGGAGTCCATCCGAGAGGTTTTCAGTCACCGAGCGCCCCAGGAGAGCAGTGTCTGAGGAGAGGCGGTTAATCAGTTCACCTGTGCGAGTCTTGTCAAAGAAAGCAACCTCCTGCCTCAGAACAGAGGAAAATAATGAAGCTTTCAACTGATTCACAATGCGCTGACCTGCAAAAGCAAGAGGGAATGGCATCACACCACATGGGTACAACCATTTGCCTGCAGCAGTTTAGCCTGGTGTCATAAAGCCTTCTAAGCCCTACAGCCACTGAGGCATGTCTGTGGCACCATATCAGATCAGTGGAAATGGACTTTACCTCAGCCCTGGCACATGAACAGTCATATTAGTGAGGAATATTAATTTTCTCTTAGTAACTACAGACTGTGGATGCTGGGGAGAGGAGGCAGTGATAAACAGAATATGACTGAGAGATTTTTTAAAATTACTATTTACACTTAAATTTTGCTACATTAACTCCTCAAAAGCTAATTTTGTTACTCCTTGGCAACACTCTTCTGTATTGAACCTTCAAACAGCGTGAAATGGTTAATGATCTACAGAGTATTTTATTAGCTAAATGAGCAGCAACAGACTTAGAGTTTGGTGTCCTGGGCTCTGTCATTATTGTGATAGCTATTTGCCTTGTTAATAACTAGGTCTCTTTAGGGAAATACTGTAGAATTTATCAGCCCAGATTGTGCTGAAGAGCAAACAAAAGCATGGGGGAGATAATGGGTGTCTGCAGCTCCCTGAAGGGCTCCAGAATTCCAGCCTCATGACTGACAGCCTGTTCTCAAACCTCCCATAATACAGATACGGCTATTTCCCTCACAGCTCCACTCCAATTCACATAAAAGAACTGAGAAACTAGTGCCTGATATAAAGCATCCCGTAACTCCAACATCGGGCTGACGTGGGGATCTGTCCCCGAGTGTGATGCCTGGGGAGGAGCAGCAGGAACCACGAAGCACACGGAGCCGGAGGCCCACACCAAATCCACAGGCTCTCTGCACATTTCTTTGTTTGCCCAAGACGGAGGGCTTTTTACCTGCAGTCTGCATGAGGTAGACACGGATCGCATTAGCAGCAGCTCCACACAGAAACACACCGCTGAGTGCAAGGCAGAGGTTGGTCAGACTGTTGGTGTAGTCCACAGCGGGGTCTGTGTAAATAACATCGATGATCTTCCCCAGGAAGAAAGGGGCGGACATGGTGATGACACTGGACATGGCCAGAAACCCCACAGCGGCTGGAAGGAGAGAGCCATGTTACGCTGTAAGCACTTCGGGAGGGCTCAGGGCTTTACTCTGCTTTCTTTTTTGCAAATTTTGCCCCATACTGGGTTTACAATGCTTCTTTTTTAAATAAACTGTCTTCAGGGTATGTACTGATGTCAGTAGCTAGGAGCTTTCCCCTTTGTGCCTGGATTCCTGACTAAAGGGAAGCACAAAATGAGCTCTGAGGCCGGAACAAGGAAGGGGCTGTAAGGACCTTACTGATCTGTCCCAGGCAGATAAAATGACTTTCTGCATTATCCTGCTCTGATTACCCCTTCCTTATCAAGTATAATCGAGAGCTAACTATGAATACCCATTCTGGCCTTCCTTCCTGCCTCCTGGTTTTGATGTTCATCTCAGATTCTATTTTTCCTATATTCATGCGATACACTGTTCTTCCCTGGAGCCTGACTATACCTTAGCTTGAAGATTATCTAGGCAAAGCTCTTGTTTATGTCTAGGATTTCAAACCCTTTATGTAACCTTTGGAAAGCAGTTATCAGCACCCATGACACATGTGTTAAGTTCCTTCTTAATAGAATTGCTTTGGGGAATAAAGCTATGGAATATCAGCCTGGTGTGAAAAAAAACAAATACATGATTGTTCGCCCAGTTAAAACACAAAGGGGACAGAGTCTTAGCAGAAAAGAAAATTCAGTTAGGAAAAAATACATCACAGACAAAATTGTTCATAAGATGAATACAAATTTAAATGACAAAGATGCACCATTTTTCATCTATTGGATTGGCAAACATCAGTGTGATAACACACTGTGTTGGTGAAAGTGTGGGGAAAGGGGCACTTACACTGTTAGTGGGAGTGCAAATTGGTACCACTTCTGTGGAGAGCAATTAGACCGTACCTCTCAAAGTGCAAATACACATTCCTTTTGATCTGGCAATTCTACCTCTAGAAATTTCACTTACAGGTACAATCTCATACAAAAGAGTCAAAAACATCCTAACCATCCATCAATAGGGAACTAGTTAAGTCAACTAGGGAGCATTTATTTTATCAATATGTGCGCATTAAAAAGAATGAGGTAACTCTATAGATACTGACAGGGAGCAATCGACCAAGGTATACTATTAATGAAAAAAGTATGTCTAGAACACAAATGTTAACACTTGTGGGTTTTGTCTGTTTGTTTTTAAAGTTTATGTATACAGAGAACATCTTCTGAAGAGTAGCACTGGGTAGCTAGGGGACAGGGTGGAAGGGAAGCCTCCTTTTCACTATGCACCTTCTGAATTTCCTACTATGTGCATATATTATCTCTAAGAAAGCATTTAAAAAGCCAGGCAGGAACAAGCAGATCCCTCCAACATAGTCAATGGCAGGGCTCCTAGGCAGACACAACATGGGCCAAGCTCTAGGAGATGGGAGTTCCCAATGCTCTGCAAAGAGTGACTGTTCCTCCATTTGTGTTTTGACTAACGCTAACACTTCAGTTAGCAAACTTGGTGCCAACTGGTTTTTCAGTTGGCAAACACACACTAGGAGAAACATTTCACACATGGCACTCTCACCTCTCTGAGGTCTTTATTCTAATGTCCTCTTCTCAAGAAGGAGACCGCCTAATTTAAAATACAAAGTCTAATACTCTGCGTGCCTCCCTCCCCCTCCCTCTTTTTCCCCTAACACTTCCCATTGTCTGACATTCTAAATGTTTATTATTTACTCCTCCATTAGGACATAAGAGATCTTTGTCTATTTTGTTCATTGCCATGTCCCCATTGCTTACAGTGACTCTTAAACAGTAAAAACTCAATAACTATTCATTGAATGAATGAATTAAATTTCAGCAAAGGAGGCAGAAAAGTGTACCACACCAAACTACATCATGAGCATAAGTTCTTTATTAGCCTTCACAGGAATGTAAGACCTAGTAGATCACAGAGTCTGTGTGGAAACAATTTCTTGGCACAGAGCCAGAAGGCCCATGTGCCTGGTTTAAAGGCCTATAATCTCAATCTGAGTAACGTGAAACTGGCCAAGGGATCAATTTATTTTTATTGTAGACACCCCCAAAACATTCTAAATAGGCTGTGCTGGGCTAGCTGAAAGAGGTCAACTCAAGGTCAGGAATAAGAAACCTCCCGTAAGGCAAAATTCCTTGATGATTAAATTTCTATATGTCCTTTGATATATGGCATGTCCTTAACGACTGTTTTCACAATTGACTAACTCTGAAACCCTGCACATGCTCTATCTCCTGAAAAACCAACGTGAAAGGAATTTACCATGACCTTCAGGAAACTACCCTGCTTGGACCTTGATACTCTGAATTCTTATGAACTGACCACCCATAGGATCAACACGTGATTCTCAACAAACAAATGCTGTAATGTAACATCCAAAGGTCACCCGATGAAAATTTATTACCTATATAATCTGCCTTCACTATCCCCTCTTCAGAGTGCCTTCCCTATACTTTCAGTTTGATGTTGCTCAATTTAAATCACATCTGCTCACAATAAATATATTCAGTTACACTAACTTCTGTTGTTTCTCCAGGTGGTTAGGTTTCTTGACAATTCCTAATGTCAGAAGCGGGATCCAAAGTGGATGAATGGCATCCCCCAGAGCTCTCATCAGACACAGATGTGATGCCCCCAAAAGCCCTTTTGGCTTATGGTCTCCACAGACCATCTGGAGGTCATCTCAGTAAGCCCCCTCAGATTCTTGGGCTCCACTTCTTTTGCCTTTTGAGCTTAAATCAAATATTTATTGTGAGTTTGGTGAATCTGTTGTTTTGTAACACTTAAGACTGTCTCAAAATGGGGTCTGCCAAATCCAAGAAAGCAGAAGATTCTCCTAGTAGAACTCTGGGTTTGCTACATGACCAAGAACTATGGATCTAGGACTTGTATTTGGATTTATGAGCTGAGGTCACAGTTTGTCAAATGAGTGGCCACTCTGAGATACTTTCCAATTGGAAAAACTAGTGTACTTAAGGTCTAAATTAGAAAAGCATGGTGCCAAAACTGGACAGACACAATGGGATGCTTATTTTGACTGGTATTCTGAGGCTTCTAAACACATTCAGGATTCTAAAATAATCTCTATAAAAGATACTGTTTTGAAACTGACTGAAAGTAACTTAAACTCCTTAACAAAATAACTGCTTTACAAAACAGGGACTTTAATTATTTTTCTCCCTCTGCTCCTCTTTACCCAACTATACCTCCTTATCTGGATGAATGCTCTGACCTCTCTGAAATGTCCTTTTCCCACTTTGATTTTCCTTCAGATCCTAAACCCTCCAGGGCCCGTGTGCCCCAAATGCCTTTTAAAATAAAACCTTGTGAAGAATGGAGGGAGGGGGGAAATACCCATCATTACTTTTACTCCATGGTCCAAAGCCAAGTTAAAGCCCATAGCAAAGGAATTTCCTAACCCTGTGGAACACCCATGGAAATTCACAGAGGAATTTAGGATATTAATTCAAGCCTACCAAATCAGGCCTCCCCGACTTATATCAGCTAATATACATTCTGGTGGGTCCAGGGGACGCCCCAAACTGGATCCAGTTAGCGGAACAAAAAAATGCTGAATGAAGTTTAGAAGCTGGTCCTGCGACCCCACCTAAATTTTTAAAGGCTGCAGCTCATAAGCTGTTAGAAGCTATACCAGAAGCTTTTCCTCGAAAGACTGATTGGCCAAAATTCAAGGATGCAAACAGAGACTGGACGAAACTGTATACAATTTCCAGGAACGTTTAACCAAAGCTTTCTCTGAATCTTCTGGCCTAGAAATAAACAGTGCTGGGATAGCTTTTAACTCTGTTTGTTAATGGCCTTAAACCTGAATTAGCCACTCTGGTCAAAAGACATTGTTTAGACTAGGAAATGGTTCCAATAGTGGAACTAACAAACTTAACTGAACTTTGGCTCAGATCCTTCAAACTGATAAGACAAATAAGCAGAATCACCTCATGGCTTTACAACTTCAACAGCTCCAATATTCTACCACCAAACCTGGCAATCCCCCAGTTGCTAAACCCACCAGGATTTGCCATTATTACAAAAAACTGGGGCACTGGAAACAAGAATGCCACAAATTACAGACAAAACTCCAAAATTAAAACTTCAAGGATCTATCCTGGTGGGGTTCCAAGGAAGTTGTTAGGCTGCAACCAGCTTTGCCACTTAATTCCCAAGACAAAACTACATTACTTATCAGTGGTAAACCTTGCACCTTTTTAATTGAGACTTGTGCCACCTTGTCTGCAATTAACCCCACTTCTTTATTGGATCCTATTCCTTGGTATACAAAAACTACTGGTATAGTGGAGATTTATAACATTACTCAGTGTGTCACCCAGTCCCTCCCCATTTCTGTTTCTGTAGGTTCAATCACCGATCATCACTCATTCCTTTTATGTGACGCTGCCCTTGTAAATCTCTTGGGAAGAGGCCTGTTGAGATAATGGGACCGTATAATAACCTTTAACAAAAAGGGGAATGCAATTCAACTTCCAGAAAACCCTACCCCTGAACTAATATGTCACTTAAAGGCCCTAAATCTGCCATAGGAAAAGGCCCCTTTGGAGACAGAACATCCCCTACTATCTACTATTCCTTCTCAGCTATGGTCAACCTCTTCTGCCAATATAGGGAATATACTGAGTGCCCAACCTATTAAAGTCCAAACTGACCCCTTTAAACGCCTCCCTGCTATACCTCAATACTCACTGAAATCTGAGGCCATTTAAAATCTCACCCCTATAATAAAGCATTTCCTAAACAAAACATTTATTATACCTTTTTTCGTCTTTGCAACATTCCCAAAATTCCTGTTAAAAAGCCCCATGGCAAAGGGTAGAAATTTGTACAAGATCTTCATGCAATTAACCAATTGATAATCCTCTGCTTTCCAGTAGTAACCAACCCCCACCTACTTTTATACCAAGTACCCCCTGAGGCTACAGTTTACACTGTCTTTGATTTTATGCAGTGCATTTTTTTTTTTTTTTTTTTTTTAGCATTCCTGTCCACCCACAAAGTCAATACTTGTTTGCCTTCACTTGGGTAGGACAACAATTCACCTGGGCAGTCATGCCTTAAGGATTCACTCAGTCCCGTGGTCATTTTTCTCAAGTCTTAAAAATGGACCTAGAGGATTTAGATTTCCCCTATAAGTCTGTCATCATTCAGTATGTGGACAACTTACTGAACTTACTGACTTGTTCCAAATCTAAGTAAAGTTGTGAAAAGGATTCTGTTTATTTGCTAACCCTGTTGGCTCATAAGGGACACACAGTATCTAAGGACAAATTACAATTTGTCCTGGCACAAGTTAAATATCTAGGATGTTTCCTTACTAGTCAAAGTGTTCAACTGGACTCCACACGTTTAAAAACCATTTGTGACTTCCCTTTGCTCCATACAAAGAGACAGCTTAAAGGGTTCCTGGGCCTGTGTGGATACTGCCTAACTTGGATCCCCAATTTTCTTCTCATGGCCCAACCCCTTTATGTCTTATTGAAAGCTGAAACCTCTGAACCTCTTGTTTGGACTAAAGAAAGGAAACATCAATTCCAGGAGCTAAAAACAGCCCTATCTAAACCCCTAGCCCTGGGAATCCCTAATTATGACAAGGCTTTTACAAGATATATACACAAAAGAAACGGAAATGCACTAGGAATTCTGACTCCAAAACACAGAAGTCAAAGAGACCTATTGGTTACTATAGTTTCAAGCCTGACCTGGTAGCCCAGGTCTACCCTCCCTGTTTATGAGCGGTAGATGCCACTGCTAAATTAGTACAGGTCACTGCACTACATGTATTTTTATGCAAATAATTTTGTCAGCCGTGCAACAACCTCCCCCGGTGTGTTATTTTATTTATGTGGGTGCATTATTTGCAAAAAATGGGGTAGTGGTGGGGAACAATTTGAAAGTTCCTTGTCACGGATTGAATTGTGTCCCCCAAAAATATGCATCAACTTGGTTAGGCCATGATTCCCAGTACTGTGTGGTTGTCCTCTATTTTGTGACTGTAATTTTCCTATATATTGTAAACCCTATATCTCTGCCTGTGGTTAATGGGGCAAGACTGGATTATGTTAAACAGGATTAGGGTGGGACTGTAACATCCTTACTAAGGTCACATCTCTGATCCAATGTAAAGGGAGCTTCCCTGGGGTGTGGCCTGTACCACCTTTTATCTTAAAAGAGATAAAAGGAAAGGGAAGTGAGCAGAGAGGGGGGACCTCATACCACCAAGAAAGCAGTGCCGTGAACAAAGCGCATTCTTTGGATCCAGGGTCCCTGCATGGAGAAGCTCCTAGTCCGCGGGAAGATTTATGAGAAGGCCGACACAGAGAAAAAGCCTTCCCCTGGAGCTGATGCCCTGAATTTGGACTTTTAGCCTACTTTACT